GATTTGAACTGGGGACCTCTTGATCTGCAGTCAAATGCTCTATTACTGAGCTATACACCCATGGCACAAACAACTGAAAATCACACATAGGAAATTAGATCCTTCACTTTGAGAAGACGACAGCTGCACTTTGAAGTCAAGGCTTCGGTTACGTCAAAGAAGATAAGTCCAAAGGGGACACCCGGATTTGAAGCTGGGACCTCTCGATCAGTAATAGCATGCTCAACCACTTAACTATGCTCTCATAGAGGGTGAGCTAGAAAATCACAGAAAGGAGATTAGATTCTTCAAGGTCAAGGATTTTGTGTTTCCAAAGCTGCAAAGTCCAACGTGAGCACCCAGATTTGAACTGGGGACCTCTTGACCTGCAGTCAAACGCTCTACCACTGAGCTATACCCCCACGTAAAAAGCAACTCAAAACAGGAAATTACATCCTTCATTTTGACAATATCAAATAACAACATCTTCACTTTAAAAGAAAGGCTTTGGTTACTCCAAAGCTGCCAAGTCCAAATGTAGCACCCAGATTTGAACTGGGGACCTCTTGAGCTGCAGTCAAATGCTCTATTACTGGTCTATACCCCCACGTGATCAACAGCTCAAAATCAGGAAATTAGATCATTAATTTTTACAATATCATACAACAACATCTTTACTTAAAATAAAGGCTTAGGTTAACCTAAAGCTGCCAGTTCCAAAGGGGACACCCAGATTTGAACTGGGGACCTCTTGATCTGCAGTCAAATGCTCTATTACTGAGCTATACACCCATGGCACAAAGAACTAAAAATCACACATAGGAAATTAGATCCTTGACTTTGAGAAGACGACAGCTGCACTTTGAAGTCAAGGCTTCGGTTACGTCAAAGAAGATAAGTCCAAAGGGAGCACCCAGATTTGAACTGGGGACCTCTCGATCTGTAGTTAAATGCTCTAACACTGAGCTTTACCCCCATAAAATCAGTAGCTCAAAACTGCAGACAGGAAAGAAGATCCTTCATTTTGACAATATCAAAAGGCAACATCTTCACTTCAAAATAAAGGCTTTGGTTACTCCAAAACTGCCAAGCCTAAAGAGGGCACCCAGATTTGAACGGGGGACCGCTTGATCTGGAGTCAAATGCTCCACCACTGAGCTATACCCCCATAAAATCTGTAGCTCAAAACCGCACACAGGAACTAAGATCATTAATTTTGACACTATCAAATAACAACATCTTATCTTCGAAATAAAGGCTTTGGTTACTCCAAAGCTGCCAAGTCCAAAGGGGGCATCCAGACTTGAACAGGGGACCTCTTGAACTGCAGTCAAATGTTTTACCACTGAGCTATACCCCTACGTTATCAGTATCTCAAAATTGGACACAAGAAATTAGATCCTTCACTTTGAGAAGACGACAGCTGCACTTTGAAGTCAAGGCTTCGGTTACGTCAAAGAAGATAAGTCCAAAGGGGACACCCGGATTTGAAGCTGGGACCTCTCGATCAGTACTAGCATGCTCAACCACTTAACTATGCTCTCATAGAGGGTGAGCTAGAAAATCACAGAAAGGAGATTTATGCTCTCATAGAGGGTGTGGTAGAAAACCACAGAACAGAGATTAGATGCTTCAAGGTCAAGGATTTTGTGTTTCCAAAGCCGCAAAGTCCAAAGGGAGCACCCAGATGTGAACTGGGGACCTCTTGATCTGCAGGCAAATGCTCTACCACTGAGCTATACCCCCATGTAAACAATGACTCAAAACCTCATACAGGAAATTAGATCCTTCATTTTGACAATATTAAACAGCAACATCTTTACTTCGAAATAAAAGCTTTGCTTACTCCAAAGCTGCGAAGTCCAAAGGGAGGACCCAGATTTGAACTGGGGACCTCTCGATCTGTAGTTAAATGCTCTAACACTGAGCTTTACCCCCATAAAATCAGTAGCTCAAAACTGCACACAGGAAAGGAGATCCTTCATTTTGACAATATCAAACAACAACATCTTCACTTTAAAAGAAAGGCTTTGGTTACTCCAAAGCTGTCCAGTCCAAACGGAGCACCCAGATTTGAACTGGAGACCTCTTGTGCTGCAGTCAAATGCTCTACTACTGGTCTATACCCCCACGTGATCAACTGCTCAAAATCAGGAAATTAGATCATTCATTTTTACAATATCATACAACAACATCTTCTTTAAAATAAAGGCTTAGGTTAACTTAAAGCTGCCAGTTCCAAAGGGGACACCCAGAATTGAACTGGGGACCTGTTGATCTGCAGTCAAATGATCCACCACTGAGCTATACCCCCTCTTAAACAACAGCTCAAAACCTCACACAGGAAATTAGATCCTTCATTTTTACAATATCATACAACAACATCTTCAATATAAAGTAAAGGATTTGGTTACTCAAAAGCTAAACAGCAACATCTTCACTTCAAAATAAAGGCTTTGGTTACTCCAAAACTGCCAAGCCTAAAGGGGCCACCCAGATTTGAACTGGGGACCTCTTGACCTGCAGTCAAATGCTCTACCACTGAGCTATAGCCCCATAAAATCAGTCGCTCAAAACTGCACACAGGAAATTAGATTCTTCATTTTGACAATATCGAACAACAACAATATCTTCACTTTAAAATAAAGGCTTTAGTTAACCTAAAGCTGCCAAGTCCAAAGGGAGCACCAAGATTTGAACTGGAGACCTCTTGATCTGCAGTCAAACGCTCTACCACTGAGCCATACCCCCACGTAATCAACAACTCAAAACCTCACACCGGAAATTAGATCTTTCATTTTGACAATATCAAACAGCAACATCTTCACTTCAAAATAAAAGCTTTGTTTACTCTAAAGCTGCCAAGTCCAAAGGGAGGACCCAGATTTGAACTGGGGACCTCTTGATCTGCAGTCAAATGCTCTACCACTGAGCTATACCCTCACAGAAACAGCAGCTCAAAACCTCACACAGGAAATTAGATCCTTCATTTTGACAATATCAAATAACAACATCTTCACTTTAAAAGAAAGGCTTTGGTTACTCCAAAGCTGCCAAGTCCAAACGGAGCACCCAGATTTGAACTGGGGACCTCTTGAGCTGCAGTCAAATGCTCTATTACTGGTCTATACCCCCACGTGATCAACCGCTCAAAATCAGGAAATTAGATCATTCATTTTTACAATATCATACAACAACATCTTCACTTTACAATAAAGGCTTAGGTTAACCTAAAGATGCCAGTTCCAAAGGGGACACCCAGATTTGAACTGGGGACCTCTT